ATATGCAGCAAAACAGATATATAATTATCATATAAAGAATCGATATCGGGATATTAATAGATACCCTTTATTTATCTTATATTTATCTTTTATGTTGTACCGGTATTCATCCTTTATGTTACCATAGATCTGCCAAGTAACTGTAGCAAAACAGGTTAAGAGTAGATGCATAAGGGATAGATATCGGGATGATAAAGGGATCCTGTTATGTATCATTTATGTATTTATTGAACCTGTGTCAGCCAAAGTTTTGCAGTTAAATCGCTTCGTGAAACTCTAGTTCGTGGCTGAAATGTAGTAAGTTCTGAATTTTTGAAATGTGAAGGGTTTAAAAATCTATTAAGAATAAATGGTATTATTATAGCCAAACGTAAACCATCTAACATTATAAAACTGTCAAGATGTGAGATTGGATTCAGCAACTTTTGCCACGTTCTTGGATATTCAAAAGACTTTCAAAACTTTATGAATATTGATTTCCCTTCTGTTGAAAGTACTTCAATTGTTATCTTGAAAAACCTCAGTACTTTGCTGGCTGTAAGATGATAGACATCTTGTGGAAACTGAAGATGTCTTTCTCTCTTTAACTTATCAAGCAAGGATGGCTGTAAATGTAATCTATATGTTGTGACGAGCTCTTTACGTCTTTTTACCGTGGTTAGTGCAGATATCTCTTCAAATTGACTATCAGTAATATGGTGATAACAGGAAACCAGTAATAAATCAAAACCTTCAGAGGTCCAAAAATCTCTTGCTACATTGCAAGTACGACAACCTCTTATAGCACTGTGCTTTTTAACTCCAGCCAAGTCGTTTCCTTGAGGCAAATCAGCCGTCACATCCCCAAGACTTGCAATGACAAGGCTTTTATTTTTCTTTTTCTAGCTCCTTCATCTCATCAACAAAAGGCCTGATAAAATTATTAAAATGACCCCGAATAGAACAAACCCAATCTCAAAATGATTTTTAAGTTGTTTCCTTTTGTTAAAAGGTAAATTTCTGATCTGGACATAAACACCTCCAAGTGAATGGTAAACATTACGAAATGTTCCAAAATCGTCGTAGTAAAGGTTGATATACAACTTATAAATTGGAAGGTTTGTTTCTGGTATCTTTAATGCAGAAAATTCTGAAGGGTGTTTATATGAATATTTGACGCTTCTTAACTTCCAATGCCTCCTGATATTTATAAAGAATTTCACAAATAAAAATTGAGGTCGAAGAGGACAATATATTAATATTGTGTTCATTATAAAGGATGACAATTGGAGCAACTTTGACAATGTTCTGTAATTTAATAATTATGACTGAATTATCCATTTCTCGATCTAATAGCCATAGCTCATTACGAGACCTTTCTCTTCGACTATTACTCTGTAGATTATATGATAGCTTATTGAATGTTAAAACATGTTGAACTGTTGCTTTGAGCTTGTCATCTATATTCACTATCGATAAAATTCGGCCAAATTTATTTTCTGCTACCGATTCTCTATAAACTATGAACTCTCCGCAGCTGTATATTGCTAAAAATTATAAAAATGAACTGTTTTTTAGTACTATGCTTTATTATATCTGAGTTTCATACAACATAAATATGCAATAAATAACATACATCCATTAATTTTTATAGATGCTTGCCCAAATTGTGAAGATTCCTTCCATATATTTCTGTACCAAAGTTCTTTGTTCCTTATAACATTCTGACCTGGTCTGAAGTACATTTGGTTGAACAATGAAAGATTATTTAAAGAATGCCAAATGATATTAGTGATGGATAGACAATACATTTCTTTAGTATCTTTGGAAGTAGATGGTGTTTTCTTATTTAAAATAGGAATATTTCTTGTCCTGATTAGAAGTAAAGGTAATCTTTGCCGATACTTTCTAAACCGACGAATATTTGTTACGACATCCTCATTTTTAAACTGTGGGTGGAGAATTATATCCACTAATTCGTCGTAAGCTTGAGTGGCTATTAAATATATACAACAAATTTCAATTTAAATTTTTATAATTTTGTTAATAACAAAATAAATTTCCTTACATATTTTATGCTTTTAAATCCAAAAAAACAGCAACGCCTCAGTGATATTTTTGAAATACGGAGCAAATTCACCACTAACAGATGGCATTTGCTCAATATCTAATGCTTTATCAACAACTTTATCAGATTCTTTTAGCACTTCATTATTATAATCTGCCAGCATTTCATCATTGTCTAATATATCCTTATCAAATAAAACAGATTCATCATTTGACATTTCGCTGTTATAATCTACCAGCATTTCTTTATCGTCCAATATTTTATCATCAAAAAAATCTGACTCCTCTTCACTTGACACTTTGTTACTATAATCTACAGGCATTTCTTCTTCATCTAATATTTTGTCTTCGAAAGAACTTCCATAATTTATTTCTTCACCTCTCAATAATTCATTGTCGTCTGATATTAAATTATCATTTGGTATCTCATGATCATTCGTCTTTTCATAATCAGTCTCTTTATTAGCATGTTTTTTAGAGTCCAACGGCGTATTAAGTATATCGTGTAGATTTTTTATATATGTTTGACGCCTTTTATAGGAAGCGTACCGACTGCGAAACATCATGAAAAAGAGTCTTTGATATAAAGTTTATTGTTCTATATATATAGCGATAGCTTCATGTGAATCTGTAATCGATCGGAAATCGAAAATCTATAATGCTAAATATATCGATATTTAAATTAGTAACAAGTAAAAGCAACAAATTTGACAAGTTTGGTAAAATTCTTATAGTTGGGTATGCACATTTATATGAATTAGATGTAAACTTGCTTATTCTTAATTTTCAAAGCGGGTATTTTTTTTAAATTTTTGCTTGCTTTTTTGTTATAACCTGATTGCATAACAAATAATAATCATTATTTAATTATTTTTTTATCATAACTTTATTGATTGATTGTATAAAAGTAAAAATTAATTAATCAAATTATTATCATTATATTGTTTTTATATTTATTCTCTTTATTTTACCAATTAACTCATTGTTTTATTTTTCTTCGTTATTTTACTTCACAATGAGTTCCAGAAATGCAAAAAAACACGCAAACAAAAAAATAAGCTTAAATAATTCAAATAAAAGAGGTCGCAAGAAACAAGCAGTTGTTTCACCGTCAGATGATCTTAATGAACTTTTAAATGATACTACTATTTTGAAAAGTACAAGCACTAAAAGAGGTCGCAAAAAGAAGCAACAAGAAGAAATAGGTGCATCTTTACCCCTAAATGATCATGACAATAATATACAAAGTAAAAATAAAAGAGGACACAAAAAAAAAGCATGAAATGGTTGCATCTCAAACATCACAAATAATCACTGAACTTTTGAAAGATAGTGTTTCTAATAACAATGATGATAATGATGGTATTCTTTCCGACGGCAATATTTCTAATGATAGTGGTGTTCTCAATAATGATGAAAGGTTTAATGATAGTGATAGTTTTAACGATTATGAGTCTGTAGCTCAAGACTTTGCAACTATCTCCTTAAGGCCGATATCACTGCTAAAAACAGAATCTAATAATCAGAGAAAGTCAATGTTTAACTCAAGGAGCAATAATCAAATTCAAAATGATATTATTTCTTTGAACAGAATAGCATCTTCAAGACCAATGTCGATTTCTGATTCAGAATCAAGAAATGAATTAGATATTTCTAATAGAACATCAAGAATCAAACTGACAACAGTTCCGGATTCAAGAACAAATAGTCAAATTGACTATATTTCTCTAAATAGAACTTTAAGATCAAGACCAATGTCTCCTTTGGAGTCAGGCGATAATATGATGAATATTCGGATGAATAATACTTGTAATGTAATGAATAATTCAACTATTCATTTTGATACAACTGATAATAGTGTTCCTTCGTCCTTTAATAAAATGATGATTTATCAACTTTGTTCTTGGTTATGCGAGAATCCCAATATTTTGCAACTAGCAAATAATATGAATCTATCAATGCAAGCACCAGTAATAGAAAGATTACAGCTTATGCCTTCAAACTCACCTGGATCATTAGCTATGTTGCAACCTCGAGAGGATAAGACAAAGACCTGTCGCGATTTTCTAGAAGAATTGAAATATCTTTTTCTTCGTATTCAGAATCTTAAGAAGAGTGTGTTTGAGGAGTTGGTGCTGAAAATCTTCAAGTGTGAACTTAATTCTGCTGAAGGCATCGAGTGGCTTCATACAGCAACTAGGAACTTTGGTGATTTCCGAAATAAATTAGTCAATGGTGTCATAGATTTAATTGAAATTTTCAAACAAACACGATAATTTAGCACTATATACAGTACATCGTCTTATTTTACATTTATTAATAATTAAGTATTTTTTATTTAATTAGCTTTAAATTTACCAAAAATTGATACGTACATAGCAAACGTAATGAAGCTACACAAATTTTCAAAAAAAGCTATGTTTGCTAATAATAATCTATATACATATTAAAATTATTAAAAAACTACATCTTTTTAACAGATATGAATTTTTAGTATCATAATATATATATACGTTTAAATTATCCTTACAATCTTTATAATTACTGCAAAATTATATAATATGTATTAAATACATATGCATGTTAAAAACTATTATATATGAGACTGATAAATTTATCAAATATTTACGCAAAAAAACTAATTTGTGTATTTTTTGTTAGTTCTGTTCTGAATAACATAACTAGAATAATTAATACGTACGTAACTACATTGGTTTTAATTTAATACTGATACAGGATATATTCGTGCATAGGCTTTCTATTTAGCATTAGTACAAAATAGTGCTGTACTTACCAAATATATAGAAAATAAAGTGTTGAGAAATCGAAATCCTCTTTGTAGATTACTTAAAAATTTTTTGGATAAGTTTATTAAATATCTACTATGTTTACTCTATCTAACTAATAAAATAACAATTATACATGACTATTATCGTGTGACTAACAGGCTAAATTTTTGACCAATTAATTTTCAATTATGCATGACGATCATCACATAACTGCCAATTTCTTATAGCACCACTATGTTACTAATATATTATATATGCTAATAATATTTTCTTTTTGTTAATATGTCTTAAGATTATATATACTTTTTTCTTAATAATATTTTATATTTATTTAATTCTAATTTTTGCTGCTAGCCAGATACCCAAAAATCTTGTAGAGTTTTTCTCTCTTTTTCTTATTATAACTTCTTTGTTTAGTTCAAAATTGACTCTTATATCTTTTTTTATAATTTTCTTTTTTGGCTATATATTGTCAATTTAGATTTTTTCAGATTAATTTCTATATTATTGATTTTAGGATCTCCTTTAGTATAGGTGGGCATATATAATTATTATACAATTGTTTTTTTTTTTTTTTTTTTAAGGTGAGATCATGCCTCTTATATTTTTTATTAAATCATAAGTTTATACACTACTATACAACCTTGTTGCTCACTCATGTATTTGCTAATTGACTAATTACAGAATACGAGACT